CCCTCCTCCTTTGATGGCGAAGCCAGGTTACTGAGGCAATGCAGGCTCCCTCTAGCAAACCTAGGGCCGTGTACATAGTGCCGTCCACCTTCTGACGGTGTCTGCCTCCGCGCACAAAAAATGAGATGGCCATCACTTCCTACGCCGACGGCCAGAGGCCCGCGCATCTACGTTTTTTCGCCTGACCCCATCAGTGCCGACCCAACTACACCACCACGCGCATGCCTCGCGGCGGATATGCGCAGCAGCAAGAAGGTTTCGGTCATCCCTTGAGGGTGAGTCTAGCCCTGCTCGCCAGAAAGACCCCCCCCTTCACTACAACCCATGTCTAAGCAAAAGCTTGTCGAGGAGCGAGGGGAAGAAGGGAGAAGACTGGTAGCGCCTGAAAAGAAAAAAGGAAAAAAAAAGGAGAAAAGTTCCAGGCCTTCGTCCCCTTCTCATAGGGCTCTCCCTCCGGGAAACTGCTGTAGATATCTCGACGACCACGACGTCGATTCAAAAGCGGATTTCTGCAGTAGGTGGGCAGAAAGCAGGAGGACAACTTTCGAGCTGTCATCACCTTGAATAACTGTTCTTTGGTCCCCTGTCGATGCTGTATTTGTGGCAATGCGTCAGTACCTACTACGCAGCAGCAGCAGCACCGACTCATCTGCCGCCATGCACCATATCAGCAAGTACACCACCCCTCGCAAAAGCAAGGAAGGCCGGCAGTAATCAAGAGCAGCAGTAACAGCGGTGATTGTAGCAGCAAACATGTAGAGTGAGGCGATGCTGCCATGAGATCGATGAGATCCGCGCTTTCTTGTGTGGTGTAAAAAGGTACGATGTCGTCGCCGCCCGTGCATAATTCCTAACGACGTAAAGGAGAGTCTCGCTCTCGCTGTTACTCTTCGCAGTCATGCCGCACCACGCCACCATACACAACAACAGCAGGAACAATAGTAGAGTACGAGTCGTGCTGTAGTCTATATATGTGTAATGCTACAGGTCCGCGCTTGTGTGCGTGCCATTAGATGAAGATCCCTTGCCGTCCTGCTGCGGTACATGTCGACGAAATCCCAACGAACGGCGAAGGGAAAGCGCATCTCCTTCTATCTGCGCAGCAGTCCTTCCACACCAGCCACGTCAACAACAACCACCACCAACAGCAGGGATGTATAAATGATGAGTAATGTACAGTGCTACTGCACCAGCATGCTATGCATAGCCTCTCTTGTTGCTTTGCGTTGGGTTAGCGTCTGGTTGGTGACCATGAACAAAAAAAGAGTTGCCGCTTCGACGGCTAGCAGTTCGATATTTTGCGACTGCTTCCGTGCCATCAACTGGAGGAACAGCAGCAGTAGCAGCAACAATAATGGCGCGGATGTTGCCCCCATGTCCCACAAGCCCCTCCTCCTCTGTGTGCTGCGTGCTGCGTGCTGTGTGGACTCTGTGTGGGCTGTGTTGCCGAGTCGACAGTGATGTGTATATCTGCGGTGCCCCTTGTCAAACGTGTCGCCAAATACCGACGGCGAGGCGCTACCAAGAAAAACTCCCCTCTCCCGTCGCAGGCGCAACCATACACAGACGCGAAGAAATGTATTTTGGGAGGTGCACGCCCTGTAGTTTGCATCATGCTCGTTCCGCGACAAAAGTAACCTGTGCCCTCGTCGTCTTGACTCCGTTTGTCCTGGCAGGCCGTGCGCTCTTCGCGGAATGGTATCGATGTCACGCACGTCTCGTGGTACGCTATTCCCCAACTCACAGCAAAATCAGTGGCTACCCGCCAACTGGCATCTCGCGTACATCTGTACTCTGCTCCATAAGGGCGTTTTTTATGTTTTTGTCATCTGCTGTGGTTATGATGATAGCCTGGAAAGCGACAGCTCCAATACAGAGTACGTAGGGTGTGATGTCTCTTTTATGTAGGGAATGTTGACGGACCACGACCGCAAGTGCGTGTTGCCACTGCAACTCATTCTGTGAAGGAAAGGCTTTCGTTAGATGGCCTTTTCCACCATATCTGGTGGTTTTGACACGAATAGCACATTATTTATTGTTTACTGATAGCACGTGCTTACACAGAAACTGCCGCTTCTCCAATGACCTTCCATCCCTTTGCTTTGTCAAACGACGCGCGATGCAGCTATCCCCGCTAGAGTTCTCGAGGAGGACGTGTGCAGAGCTTGGTATTGGGTTGTCGTTTGTCCAGCCAATAGCTCAGTCTATTGGCCAACAACTTATAGAATATGGGCGAAAGAACCCAATGTGGGCAGTGGAGGGATCAATTGCACCAGCGGACGAAAACATCCAGACTGTGATCATCGACGTACGCTTTCGATCAGTCATTTTTCGAGATCGCTTGCAGTGGGATGTCAACTGCCCCTACAACAGCCCGGAGCAGTTCGCGAGGATCACGGTGGCAGATTTAAATTTACCACAGGCGAGTACCACCGGGTAGAGAGCAGTGGTCCCTTTCGGATTGGATCGTGTTGAGCGATGACGCTAAGCATCTCGAACGCAAGTTGTAGGCCACAGCTCACCGTGTGTAGGATGTATTGCAACTGGATCGGCCGTGGTGGAGGGGTGCGCTATCGTTCCCGTGCCACGTTCACGGTTGCACTTTCGTGCCGAGCACTCCTTGCTGGTATGTTGGCATACCCGCCTCCTCGCACATTTGTTGAGACGAACAACCGCCGTTGCGCACTGTCCGTGACGCTTGTATTTGCAGGAGATGGAGCCGATAATCGCGCTGACGATACACCAGCAAGTTTCGAGATTTCGCATGGCAGCACCATCATCAACCACAAGCAACGAGGATGCCCAATTCAAGGACGTCGAAGGGCCTTGTGTTTCTTCTGCCCTAAATTCGAGTAGTTTGTACGAAGTAATAGCACCCCCATAGTGCCTTCGAGTCTCCGAAGAGGGAGAGGAGACGGGGGAGACGGGTGCACTCATGGTCGTGCATGCCGTAGTCGTTAGACCATTGACCTCGCATCCCTACAAAGCCGGGACGGAGCACGCCGGGTTCTCACCGGACCAGGCTCTCACATC